TATCTAAAAAATCTCGGCTTCGTTACTTACTTATACTCACTAATTATGATCAAATTTCTTAGCTGGTTGCTGCAGCATTTTCTCACCCTTATTGACAACTAGTACGTCAATTTCAGTAAAGCTGTTTCTATAATTCAGGACGTCAACGTTGAATTGAAATTTTTAAGAAAAATACAAATAAAATTTAGTTCATAAATATTTATTAATTTCTTTTTTTACTTTTATTGAATTTTCTTTGGTTTAAATTTAATTTCTTTTTTTTTTCTATTATTTAACATTTGATATTTTAATAAAATTTATATCAGATAATACTTTTTTTTTATTTGCTTTTTCTTTTACAATTTTAAAATATTTAACCTTTAACTTTTCCAAGAATTTATTTATGTTCCTTTCTGAAAGTGATGTCAGTTGAATGTGTATTTTTGTGGGAGTATGTATGTGTTTAGCTAATTATTTTGTATGTATAGTATATATTATTAATTTATTCATTTGTTACAGATTAATTTGTAATTAAATCCGTTTCGATATCGTTTTTCAATAATTATTTTTATAGTTTTTTATTAGTTTTTGTATATTATTTAATTATTTAATTAATATGGTTGTAATTTTCTTAAAAATAATAACTAACAATTCTTTTTTTTTTTGGTAATTTTTCGTATTTTTATTTAAAATTCTCACTATGGTGTTTTGTGGTTCAATATTTTTGCATATGTGTTGTGTAAGTTGTTTTTTTTTTTTATTTATTTTTCTTTTCTTTTTTGTTTTGTTAATATTTATAAACATATGTTTAATAATTTTTTTTTGTATTTACACTAATTATAATTTTTGTAACATTCTCTTTCTTTATAACAATATAAATTATAATTTTATATCTACTATTTATATGTAGTATTCATATGTATGTATGTATAATGTATATGTCTGTATGTATATATAGTATCTTATGCATTTGCATGAATTATCTACTCTACTAATTAACAATAAAGTATATTTAATATAGTGTATATATATTTGAGTATGTAAAGTATAATATGTATGTATAATATATTATCTATATAGATATTGTGCAAAATATAAATATTTAATTTTTCTTTTAATTTAACTGGTACAAAATATAAAAATCATATATGAAAATAAAAAAAAAAACAACAACTTAAATATACAATTAAATAAAATTAATTTAAATTTAAGGAGACTGTCTGCGTACATAATATATTAGATAGGAACGAATGTTTGGCCTTAAAATCAAAATAATTTATTATACTTATTGTAATTTCAACAAATATTTTACATAATATATGTATATGTGAACAAATTTTTAAATTATCTACGATATAGTATATACATATTTATTACGAGCATTATATGCATATTAGATGCAAAATGTTTATGTACGTTAATTCAAATATTAAAAAAGTATATATATATATTAAAAATAAGAACTGAAATTTTTTATTTGAATTTATATAAAAATTAAAATTATATAGTTCTTGAGGTTTATGTAGCGATTAAATGGTTCTAGATAGTGAATTTATATTTTTTGACGTGAGAAAAGAACGTGTTTTGCTCTAACGATGGATTAACAATGGACTAACACTTAAAGGACGGTAGGAACCTTAAAAGATATAAATTTAATAACTTTTAGAAGCTTATATCTCTTAAACCAATAAAGTCATCAAGGTCAATTAAAAATAAAAAAGAAAGTTTTAGAAAGTTATCTTTCATGTTCTATAGAACAAAATAAAAACCATTAAATGGTTTCAAAGACATTTATGAGGGTTTTTTTTTGTTAAAAATGATATTTTCGAAAAGGATAGTTTATTAATTTTTTATTAAATTTATTTGAAAATTTTCTTTTCAAAGACATTTTGGCCGAAAGTGATGCAATAAAAATTTCCTGCCATAGCCTAGTTTACAAAATATAAAAGTATTTTTTTGTTTTCTGGTACCACGTAATCGCTACAATCCTTGCTATATACATAATACGAATTAATTAATTTTGAGTGGATACTCTAAATTCTATATATCAGTTTTAATATTCAATATATTTAAACAAGAAATATATATTAATTTCGGATATATATTGGTTTTGTATTAAAACAAAAGTTTTTTAATTTTTGAATACTATGAAAATATATTTATAAATATAAGTTGCTTAATCTGATTTTTACTGATTTTGCATTTGAATACTCGTATGTATTATTATTAAAAATTATTAAAAAATTGACGAGCTTATTAAAACTAGGTGTATTGTAATGTTCAACATCTTTAGGTTTTTTATATATAAAAATAAAATTAAAAACTAAATATTATTAAAAATATTATGTGAGATTTGATTATGTATTTAAAATGGAAAAGTTTAATTAGTTGATTTTCCATGCTATTTTAATACTAAAATAATAAATAAATAAGAATAATTAACTTTTAATTTAAGTAGTATATTTGCATAATATATTTTTTAATTCTGTACACTAATATATTAATTTTGATTTTACCTACATGTATATATATATATATATATATATATATATATATATATATATATATATATATATATATATATATATATATATATATTCTATATATATTATAAGTGATTATGTATTAATGTTGTGTACGTTAATTGATTTCGTAATGCTGTAAATGTACATTTATTTCAATTTTTTATAATAAAATATTCAAAATTTTTTTATCTTTCATGAATTTAAATAATACATAATTATTCTTAAATAAAATGAAAATGAAATTTTTTCTTAAGAAAAGAAATAATTTTAAAGATTTGTTTTTTCTTTTTGTATCAAAAAAATATTGTCAACATTACTGTTTGTTTTACATTTATTTAATTTTTTAAATGTAAGTATTAAAAATTTTTAAAATTGACAATTTATTCCTGTTGTGATAATTTCTCACAAGCAATAATTTTTCTCCTTCTAGCTATTTATTAATTTATTTATTTTTTTTGCATATTTTTAGGAGAATATATACAGTATTGTAATATAAAATTTTAAATTTTATTTTTATTTTTTATGTGTATGTTTTTTTTTTGAATTATTTAACTTAGTAATTAGCAAAATTTATTTGTTTTAAAATTTTATATTTTGTTTAATTCAAATAAAAAATAAGAAATAATTAAAAGATTGTTGGTCAGAGTTTCCAATATCAAATTTTCTTCATAGATTTTGTATATGATTAATATAAAATTTATGTAATCTTTTATGAATATTATTTGATGAAAAGAATAAAAAGTTATTCATCTCTCAATCCATGAATAAATATTTGATGTCTAAAGTCTGACTTAGAAAGTTCATTGTACAAGAATAAAGCCGAATGGTTGTTAAGAGCCTTCTGCACACATTCGACATTCATACAAAACTGAGAATGAAAAATTGTTTTTTTTTTGTAACTTTACCAAAAAATGTTTACAATTATTTTTAAGTACCTTTTGTTATATTATAATTCGTTATTAATCATATCATGTGTATAAATTTTTTATCAATTTTATTATTTATTAATTGACTTTTATTTAATTATTAATAAATTGAAAAAATATATTACTTTCAATGAAAATTCAAAAAAATTATATTTGAACACATACATATATACGTATATAGGCTTTTACAAGTATATTATGTAGATTAAAAAGCTAAATTCTTTCATTCTATTCATTCTATATTGGGAAAATTTTTTAAAGATTAATGAATTTTTCAAATGATTGTTTAAAAATTAATAAAATTTGGTAAAATGCGGCGAAAAAAATTATAATAAAATTTTCGTTTGAAAATGATTAAAATCAGATTAATGAAAAAAAATTGTTTGGACTTACTATACTTTTATTTTAAACTCACTCTTTTCAAAAAGCAGTCATATTATAAAATTAAAATGAGATTAAAGTCTTGCACTCAAATAACATTAGTTTCCCCAGCATGATTACGTATGATTATAGCTCAATTTTCAAGCAATAATGAAATTTGCAATTAAGCAATTAGAAAAATTCGAATTAGACAAATCGGAGTTTTGTTTATCGTTTATGGATTAACTTTTGAAAAAATTCAAAAGTAAACTAAAATAATGAATGTCAATTGCGTTGACATACTTTGAATTGGAATTCATGACGCTTGCTTCACAAAATTTCGGAATTCATGATTGACGTCAGAATATTCAACATATTGAGAAATGTCTATAATGATATTAGTACATAAGTGGATTTTTTTTATCTCTTTGAGCTTTATAATCCAAAAATATCATATTTTAATCCTATACCGAAATTTATGATTAAACTAAATTCAGCTAATTATATCATCTTAGCTGAATTAGATTAAAAAACCGTGCTAATGAAATATGTAGTTCAAGAACTCCTCCATAATGTTTTAAGATCTAATCTCTTAATTAAATAAAAATAGGAAAATTTTATTTGTAATCCTGTTATCAAATATTTTAAGTTTAGGTATATTAATTTTAAAATGCAATATTACACGTATATATTATTTTTTACAAATATTATTTTTTATATAATTTTTAATATTATTATTTAATAGCTTTTTCATATCATACATGTTTTTTCAATTTTTTTTTTTTTCATTAAAAACAACTTTAACAACAATTTTAATTTTTTACATTACAATTTAATTATTTTTAAGTTAAATATTATTTAATTTGACCAATTTAAGGTACTGTTTCTGAATCTGAATGCATTAGATTTTTTCTTACGGAATTTTTTTTTAATGGTTTTGCTTTTTGTGTGATATATAATTAATTGATCAACTAAATTTTTGGTAAAATTTTACATTTAATATTTTTATGAATTATTTTATACTTTTTTGAATATTTGGTTTTTTTTTTTGTAGCTAAAATTAATAAAAATATATTTATATATTTTTCACTTGATTTTTGCAGCACAGATTTTATTTTTCTTTGAATAATTATTAAAGAAAAATAATTAATTAAATTAACATTAGTTTATGTTTTTGTTTTTTTAGGTTTTAAGTAATTCTTTGGTGTAAGTTCCTTTGAAAATAGGTACAGCATAAATAATTTAAACTAAATATTATTTAATTGCAATTATTTTATTTTATAATATTGAGATTATGTATTTAAATTTACTATATATGATTTTGTTTTTCTTAAAGTTAGAAGTTTATAATTTCACGTTAATTTATTTTTATTTGCTTGTAAAATTCAGACTTAAAATCTAGTCATTTGCTTCAATTTTCTCAGTATAGTTGTACAGTCATATTATTATATGGAAATTCATATATATATATTTATATCTTTTGGAATGTAGTTAGAAGTTCCAATAAGTTTGTTTTTTTTTAAGATTAACTGATATATGAATGTCTTTTGATTATGATTCGACGAAGATGTTTGTTTTTCGAATGATCACATCAAAAACAAGAATGAAAATACTTTAAGTATATTCAATTAATGTGATATTTTTCTGTAAGTTCACTACAATGAAGGTCTCTGAAGAATATTTGAGAAGTTTTTTTTTGGAAAAGTAACGAAAATTATAAGAATATTATCAAATAGAATGTATGGAAATGTTAAGTTTTAGTTGCAACTGTTTAACACACCACCCAATTTTTCTATATTTGTTATTTTTAAGAAATGCAAAAAATTAGTACGAATTTGAAAATAAAAATCAAAGAATTTGAATCTAATCAATTTTTGCAATTGAATTTCATAAACAAAATTTTGTTATACTTACATACATATGGCATGATTTTGAAATTTTATATTTTTTTTTCTGAAGCATGTAGTGTTTTTAATAGTTTAATAATTTACGGATTTTTTAATGCTGATGTTCATCAAGTTGCAGAATTAAATTTTAATCTTAAGAGTAACATATTAAATTTGATTTGGTTCAAAGTTTCACTGTATTTTGATAGTCTAGATTCCAGAGTAATATTTCAATGAAATGTTTGTAGTAATTTTAATAACACAATTTCATTTTATGTAATATGATTACTTGTGTTCACAATCTGTTTTTTCTTTTTAATTTTTTTCAAGTTTGTTCTAATATTTTATAGACGAGAGTAAGTAAAACACACTACAAGTGAATAATTCTTTAACGATTATTGTGAGCGTGTTTGATTTGTTTACTTTTAAGGCTCTATTAATATAGACCTTAGTTTCTAATTTTACTAAATTAGAGAATATTCTATTCGCAAATAAAGTGATATGTTGATTAAATAACTAATGTAATTGATATTTTTTCAAATATTATGATAAATTTTCTTACATTAAGTACTTTTGGCAATGAAAAACAAAACAAACAAAATGTAATACGATATTAATGTATGTATGTATGTTACTATGAAAACATAATTTAAATTTCAGTCTTTTACAATATTAACTGAGAAACTTTTAAAACGAAATATTATTTTTGTTATATTGAATGCTTTACCTTATTCGTCTAAATATCTACTGTTTTTTTTTAAGGTGACTCGCCCTCTGCGTCCTTACTCCATAATGCACTCATTCTGAATGATTAAATTATTTCTTTATAAAAACTTTTTACACATTTCCGAAAAGAAGAATACCTATTTTCTTTTAATTAACTCCAATGAAAAGAGAATGGATTCATGTAATAAAGAAAATATGAAATTAAAGTTGCCCATACTCGAAAATCTCATTGGCTGCAAATGCGGCTTAATTTATCGTCTATTCTAAACATTTTAGTAGAAATCATTTTTTAGTACCTCTAAATTTATAATTTATGCATATTTATATAGTTGAGTGGTTTTAAAAAATGGCTTTTATAATTACGGGTTATGTTAACCATAATGTAACACCAATGTCAATGTTACCTTTTCAGGAACACAATTTTAATTGGTAGATTGATGACATTGATGTAAGTGTTTGCGTTAGCAATAAAAGGATATTTAAATGGAAATTTACTTAAACGCAAGTTAATCTGCGATTAATTTTATTTAGGAATTAAAATTTTACAATTAAACAAATGTAGCTCGCATTTTAAGGGACAAATGCACAGAGTATGTGTTTTATAAGCAACCATGATTTAACTTAAAATGTTTATATTAAAATACAAATATCAAATTTTTTATATAAACATATGTATACAAACAAAGTATGAATTCAAGAGTATTTATGGAATTTTAAACTTTGCATTAAATTGAAAAATTAGAAAATTTATTCATACATATTTTCGCATGGCGAACGAATTTGACATTCATTTGTCATACTGTCTCTTATTACGTCTCTTAAATATTTTGGTATATCAAGTAAGGTTTACAGAGTTAGGCTGTCACCTTTTTAGTTTAAAATCTTTTCTTACTAATTTCATAAATATTGATTTTTAAATGAACAGGTTTGTTATTTTATAATAATTTTCAATATTTTTTTTGTAAATACTTAATTGTTTTTGTAAAAGTGTCAATTGTTTTTCTACCACTTAGCAAAATGTTGTATATAATTTTTTATTTCAATATAAATGTATATTTATAGTTACTGTATACGTTATGTTATATATAAATATATTTAAAAACAAATTGCCTTTTAAAGTAAAATTTGGTAATATTTTTTTAAATTTTATTGCATTTTTGTATTTTGTTTATAGGTTTTTGTCTTTGTAATTGTATTTGCTATTTGGAAGATAAAGTCAGTATTGTATTGTTGTTTCTTTTAATACGATGCTGTATATAATTAATACCGTGTATACATTTTCATCAAAAAAGTAGTAAAAAATCTACATTTTTGTTTTGTATATAAATACTAATTTAAACTTAATAAATTCTCATAATATTATTATTGTTTAAGTTAATTGTTTTGTTAAAAAAGCTGAAAAAAGTTTTGTTTTTGAATTTTAATTTATTATTTAAAAAAAAATAATGAAATAAAATTGTGATATATGAATGTATACATTATTATAAATTTAATGAAGACAAAAGTTGTAAATTCAAATGCTATGTGGTGAAAATTAGTTTACATTCTTATGTAAAGAAATTGTCTCGTTGTTGATATATTGGCAGTGAATCAGTTGGTGATATAATTTGATCCTCTTCTGACATTGTTGATATGTAATTGTTATAACCGGGTACTTTTGATGGTAAATTCGCCATAGCTTTTTCTGAATTTATTCAATTTTATGTAGATATTACATAAAGATAAGTAAGAAAAAATGTTTTTTTTTTTTTAATTTTTTCGAAGTCATTTTTAATACACAAAAAAGTATTAATATAATTTTTAAAATTAATAAAATTTTTTTTTATAAAAAATTATAATAAAAAAAAAATTAAAACCGATGAACTTTTTTTTTATTTATTTATTTCAAAATAAAAGAAAATTTATGAAATTGACTGTTAAGAATATTAATGTATAATTCACAGAAAATATCTTTTTTTTTTGGCATGCATGTCACAAAAACAAAAGTTCGATAAATAAAATAAAAACACAATTTATGTTAAGCATGTCGTTAAATTAAAACACTGAGAACAAAATCACAATGACATGTATAATTTTTAAAGTTTAAAATTACACTTAGATTTTGTAAAACGAGAAATGGAAAACTGTTATTTTTAGTTTTTGAATGATTTTCGAAAACGTATTTAATTTTTTTTTTAAATTATCTCTTAAAAATTTTAGAAATGTTTTTATAAAATGTCCTGAAAAAAATCTAAAATTTTATTATTCTGCGTACGGCAGGTTGTACTATTTAAATATATAAGAGTCATCATTGTTTTTTTCATATTAAAATGTCCCAGGAGACACGTTTCTGCTTATTCTACGAACGGCCCCAAAAAGAATAAATTTTTTTCATAGTTGGTATATTGCTAGTTTCAATGTTTTGCAATAAAGGGCATCTTTGTGTTTTGTTATAGCTTCTAAGCTCCCAAAAGAGGAATTATTTGGTTTGTCTTCAAAGATTTTTGAGAAAAAAATAAGAACTATCTTGACAAATGGATTCTGATTAGTTCTATTAAAAAAAGTTACATATATGTACTCGTATTATTTAAAAAGTAAAAAGTAATATTTTGAAATTTCAGATTATGCATTTGTAGTCTTGGAAAGGTTGCCACAAATATGATAATTTATTAGTTTAAATAAGAAATTTTAAAATATAGTTTACAACTTTATGTAAAAGAAGGAGTTGTAACAGGATAAATGAATAACTTGTTTTATCATATTTTTGTATATTTTTTTACCCTTTTAATTTTAAATATTGATTTGAATTTAGGAAAAATAAATTTCTGTTCAAAACCACTAATTATTGCAAACTTCGCAAAATTAATTTATAACTTTATTAAATATTTGTAACGCTAAAAAATATTAAACAATTAATACGTAATTTGAGTTTGGTGTTTCACCAGTTTGTTGATTTAGTAAACGAGTCTTTTGACTATTAGGAATTGCGAATAGAAAATTAAATGCTGATAAAATACTGATATACAGAAGCTAGCTCGTAGAGTTCAAATTTACAGGATTGATACAGAGTACCTACGTTGTTATTGAAGCAATCAAATTTGCGTTTTAAACTATAAGCATTATTTGGCAACAACTTTATTTTTAAAATATTTTTTAACATTAAAGAAAAATCAAAAAGCAATCTACATCAGCGTTATCTTTTTAACAAATATAAAAAAAAATAATTTCTTGTAATTAATATTTGTATTTGATTTAAAATATATTATTATAATGTTTTAAAATTTTTTAAGAAAATAAATATGCAACGGACATTGGTTGTTATTAAAACAATAACGTTTCATTATTTTGTTAGTACTTCGAGATAACTGCTTTTTTATTCAAATTTGATAGCAAACTTTGTAAAACCGAGTATTTTTTTTCCATTCAATATTTCAGTGAATACGTTTTGTTATTTTTAAAATATTTTTGGTTAAAGGTTTAATAAAAATATGTCATTATACAGATATTATTTGTAAAAATAGATATTTGAAGGTACAAGAAAAATTAAAATTTAAACAATTTTAGAGTGGAACGAGTCTGTAATAGTTATTCTTACTAAAATATTTGGAAACTTTGTAAAACGTTAAAAATATTTAAATAAAGTTATTGTAATTTCAATATATTAGAAATAAAGTAAAATACGAATTTATTTTTTTATTTTTAATATTTTGGTGTGTGTAATTAAAATTAAAAAGTACCTACAGATAAGTATATACATATATATTCTATGCATTTGTTTTATTATACTTTATTTACAAAATTTAAAAATTGACTGAAAATTTATAAAGAATATTTAATAAACTAATTTTTATATGCAGTGACGTAGCAAATAAATCGAGTTCTTTAAGTGCTTTTAACAATTATTATAGGGTTAAAACATTACAATATTGAAAAGAATAACGTTGTGCATGGATTGGTCTCATACAGTTTCGGATATGGAGGTTTCAATTACTAAGTAATGCATTTTTAATTATTATGACATTTTTATATTATATATAATAATTTTTTTATAAAAAAAAAATACAGTATATTTTTTTAAATTATTTTATTTTTTATTTTACGTTTTCTTTAATTCTTTCATATTTTTTTTTAAATCCAATTAAAATGCTTAAAATGTTTTATGTATGAGTACTTACAATTACATTAGAAACAAAAAAAAAAATAAATGTTTTTTATGTACAGATACAAAACAAAATACAAACAAAACACGAAATACATAATAAAAAAACATAAAAATGATATTAATTTGTGTTTCAACTTGTATTTAATATAATTATGTTTTTAATATAAAATAATATTTTTATGAGTATACAATAAAAGTAAAACAAATTAAAGAAATTAAAATCTATTAAAATAAAATGTATGTAGGTATGTATATATACTAATATTTCAATGGATAAAAACGATTGTTTTTAATGTTTCTTAAAAAAAATAATAATTAATAATTAAAAATAAAGATTTGATATTAATATCAATTTTGAAAAAAAAAATTTAATTTCTTATATAACATAATAATTCTAATATTAAAATAATTTTTTTTTAATTTAAATTAAACAAATAAATTAAAAAATTATGAAATTAAAAATTTAATTGCATTATTTTTGTTATTTCAATTTTATTATATCTATACGTATGCGTATAATAAAATATGTTTTATATTAAAATATACAATTTTTTAAAAAATAATTATTATTATAACTCAATTTAATACACTCACTAATATTGTTTAAATTAATTTAGCTAAAAAAAATATTAAAAAATTTAATTATAATTTTCTTTTCCAATTATATTATTATAATAATCTTTTCCAATTATATTATTCTTGAAAAATTAATGTAATGTAGCTTAAGGAGTTAAATGAAAGAAACTGCATGATAAATGCAGTAGGCATTGAAATATAGTGGATGTAATATAGCTTTTCTGTATTTGGTCTAATATTCAATTAAAAATATGGTAAATACAATAATAAATTACATTTATATTAGCTTCCTATAATATAGGATATTCATATTAATGATATACATAAATATGCAAATTGTAATTGTTCTACTTTTTTTAAAATCAAACACCTCCTTTATGTTCATTAAATTTGTTATGAAAATCGTTGAATATTGATTTAATTCATTATCTTAGTAGTGCATCTAATAGTAAGAAAAAAGAATTAATTTTTTAACATAAAAATATGTTTGCAATACTTTTTTATTTCTAAAATAATATTTTCGTATTTCGTGAAGAATTTTGAGTGAAGAGTATAATACGAGTAGCAGTAAATTTGTAACATTGAAAATTGTAATGTCACTTAAATACTCTTTCTTTATCCATTTAAGCAATAAGCCTATGATTAAAAATTTTTAATCTAATTCAATTAATTGTTTGGAATTTGTTCGTTCTTAAAAATTAAAAGAAAAAATTAATGCAATTGAAAAAGATCATATTATAAATTAATTACAAAATTAAAACTAGAATCTTACTTTATTTTAATTAAACAAAAATTAAAAAATAAAATGAAATTATAATTGTTACTCATTATTTAAAATCTTTTTTTTTTCTATTTTATTTTGTACAAACCTTTGGCGCAAATAAATGTTGTATTTTGTGTATATATAAATTAGGCGTTAAAATGCATTTGCTTTTGATTGAATTTTACTAAAAATTTTATTTTTTTTTTAATTTAATTTTTTTTTGTAATATTAAAAAACAAAAAAGTATTTTGTATAATGTCAAATTGTTTGTTTTTTTTGTATTAAATTTTGTAAAATGGTTTTTGAATTTTTTTTTTTAGTTTTATTGAAAAATTTTTTAAACTTTTACTTTTAATTTTAGGCTATAAATATAGGCATCCAGCAAACATTTTGTTAACAAAACCAACAAAAAAAGTACATTTTTTTTTTAAATTTTTTTTACTTTTCTGCTTTTTTAAATCCAAATATACAATAAAAATCAAAAAAGAAAACACAGAAAAAAATACACAATAATTAGAAGAAAAATTTTTTAATATTAAATTTTTATAATAATTTTTTTTTCATTATGTAATAAATAATTTGTATTCCGCTACTGATTCTGATTAGATTGGCTAGGATTTCCTAATTATAAAAAAAAAAATATGAGAAAGAGAGAGAGAGATAGAAAAAGAAAAATATATAACATAAAAAAAATTAAGCGCATAAACCAAAAAACCATTTGCATTAAGAATATTCAAAAAAGTAACATAATACAAAAAACAGAAAAAAAAAAGAAAAACAAGAAACTTTAGTAAAATCAGTATACAATTATTATATTTAATTCTTTGATTTAATACACAAATATAAAATTGCCGACAATTGATTATAGACATTAATTAGTCAAAACACTCTCAAGTATCTCGAATGGTTCAATTCTTTATAATGGATATAAAAGCGATAATTTTCAGTTGACTGAAAAAGAGTAAACTTTGAAAAAATCAGATATACCTTCAGAGGTAAAACAAGGTAAAAAATTATTTTCCAATAATAATTTATTATATTTTTCATTTTTATTATTTCTTTTACTATTCTTTAATGTAAAATGATTAGGAGTTAATCAATATTATCTTCGTGGTATGTACGAGTATGTCTTATTCTATTCCAACCATTTGATAATTCTAGATAAAACATTAAAATGTGTTTAAAGAGTTTCTTTTCTGTTTTTTATTCACAATAAACAGGCAATCCCCAAATCATTTTACTTATATTATTTTTTTAAATTCACTTTTTAAAATTCAGTCTAAGTAATATCATATTGATATTTAAATGATTTTGTTCTGTGTTTCATGAATCATTACTAAATCTTGAGAATTTTAATGATAAAATTTAAATTTAACATAATTTTATGCATATTTTTAAATTTCTTTATAAACCCTTAAAAAATTTTTGATCAAAGATTTAAATATAATTATAAGTGTATGATTAATAATAGGAGTCAGGTTTAATTAGAAAATTTTGAAAATATTAGATTAAAAAATTTCTCATTTATTATTTATATTTTTTTGAAATAAAAAGTAAAAGATAATATGCGTAATCATTTTTAGCAAAAACTTGAACTTTGCAATTAAAATTATTCTAGCAAAAAATTTTACAATTAAAAACAAAATGTAATTACAACAAAATGTTCTAATTTACTAAAATATTTAAAGATTTAAACTTTAATTTTATATTACAAGAAAATTTTCTATATGAACGTAATAAAATTAATTTGCGAAAAATTTACATTGAAATTTAATATTTAGTTGATGTATTTTTTAATTTTTTCGTTCTTTTTTTTGCGTTACAAAGGATTAAAAAGTCAATAAAAGAAAAGTAAAAGATTTAGACCATGTACTTTGCGTAAATAAGTTTTAAAAATGAAATTTTTAAAGATCAGGATAGTTTGAATAGTTTCAAAATATTATGGGGCAGAATTTTTTATATTTTTATACATGGTTAAATTAAATATTAGAGTAGTTCTTGTTTATTTGTAGTAATAGTTTTAAATTAAACAATTACTCATACAATTTAACAATTTAATAAGATATAAAGAAGGTGAATAACATTTTAAGTATTCATAAATACTTATAATTTCTAAGTATTGAAAATTTTTGGAACGAGAAAATAATTTTTAATTTTTGAAAACACATCAACTAAAATTTATCAAATGATTATTAAAAATTTTAAAAAATTTCTAATATAATTAATTTTAATCACAAATAATGTATATGTACATATTATATAAAAAAATATTAACTAATGTATTGAGCTAAAAAATTATTGCTCTGCATAAAAATATTTAAAATGCTTTAATTATGTTATGTAAACGTTTTTGAATTAATTTAGCTTAAATTTATGAAATTTATATTTAAATTTGCTTATTTTAAAGTGCTTTTAATTTTGTTTTTGTTTTTGCAGCTTTTCAAAATTTAATTTATAAAACCTTTTAAGAAAAATTAAAAAAGAGTTATTTCTTTAAAATTTCAAAAGATATCATTTACAAGTTATTATTATTGAAAAAAACAAAATTTGAATTTGAAAAACATGTTCTGCTTTTCAAAAAGAAACAACATTATTAAACAACTAATAAATTAATTTAAGAAAATATATATAAAAACTTTACTCCACTCTCAAAAATATAGAAACAAAGAAAAAAACTATCTCCCCTGAGATAACAGAGAAATCGGTTTTCAATCAATCTTACCTGCAACAATTTTACTCATTTGCATCACTTGTTGTGCTAAAATTTGATTTAATTGCAATAAATGTTCCCTTTGTTTTTTCTCTTCATTGATTTTACTAGGTGGTTGTGGTACAGTGTCCTAAAAAGAGTATATTGTTTTTTAATATATGTATATAAATTTAAGTTACAACTGCTTGTATATTACAATACAAAAAATAATTATATTACAGACATTTTGTTAAATATCTATTAGGAATTTTTTTACGATTATACGATTTTATTATTATTTCTAGTCACAATCATAAAGTGATTTTTAACTTTCAAACAATATAGTGATAATAAAGGTGGGCCATTATATATATTTTAAATTTGTAAATATAGTGATGAAATTAAATTACTTTATGTAAATATTGAAAACATTTAAACTTATCTAAGTTTGAGAAATGGCCAGCTTTTCAGTTTGAATTTTAAAACTTTAAGCAAAATATTATTTTCCATATTTGTATTTAAATTACTTTAATATTTTGTAAAGCATAATTTAATTTCTTCTTAAGTGAATGTTAAAAATAAGTTTATTGCCTAAGAAATTAAAAATTTTTTTTTTATTGTACTTACATTTGATGAGTTGATTGGAGCTTCCGACAACATTTTTTTGATTGCTTCTACTTTCTCTTGTCGTCTTTTCTTCTCTTCCGGAGATAATTCAGGAGCCTAAAAGCATATACATGGTATAGTTTAATCTCGTATTTTAAAATTGATTATAAATTTGTCACTGACTACATAAATATTTCTAAAATGAAATACAAATAGTTTTTAATGCTCTTCGATTTTCTTTATCTACAAAATTCGTTTTTTTATTCTTGCATAAACGTAATTGCTGTAAAGTTAATCAACTAAGTTAATTCTCATACAAACTTACATATTATATTATTATAAAAATGTTAAATAACGAACTTTGTAGGGAAAAGATTTTTGGAATACATAATTTTTTCACAATAATTTTATGCAATAATTTACTTTTTCAGGTATGTAACGCTCAGGTATTAGAATTTTATTTGGAGCACCAAATAATCGGTCGATTGTGTTTTCGGAAATTTTTTCGCCTTGGCCTAGTGCCGACCTAACAACGTCTGGGGCATTGTTTCGTGGTCGTAGTGCTACTTCCATGTCCAAGTCATCCCTGGCTCTCCAATTTGTATTCTAAAATTCATATAAAATGAATTAAATATTTTTTTATATACATACGTATGTACATATGTATGTATGGAAATTTTAAAATTTTAAATACTAAAGCTATTTTGTAAACTTTGCTAATTGTCAAATTAGAATTCATATTTATAATTGATTTTTTTATTAGTAGTATTGTTAAATATGCAAAGCTTATAGAAAAATTGTTATTGTTAAAGTGATTTTGTTGCATTTTTCCAACATACTGTGTAACATTTTTATGTTACACAGTAACTATAAAAGTGTGTTTAAATTATTTTCATATAATCATATTGCCGATTTTCGCGTTTTATTTTTAATATTACGACTACACCTGTAATTTTGCAGTATCATCCTTTTACGCTTAGTACAGTAATAATAACGTTATGTTATTTATTATAAAACACAAAATCTTGGAAACTGTTTTTGATATTGAGTATCACAATATTGTTTTTAAATAGCTGTCTGAAAAAATTTTCTTCTAAACATATGATGTGTATATTGTTTTGAAAAAAATAAATAAATACACTATGATGAAAATTAAGTTTTAGACTTACATTTCTGTTCATGTCATTTTCTGCTTGAACTTTTTGCATTGCTTTTAGATTAACGTTATTTGGAGCCGTATTGTGCCGTCGTTTCTCCCGTGGTATAGCTCTGCGGTGTTTATGTTGTTGTGTTGTTGATAATGGAGTTGATGAACTGCTTCTTTTGTCTGAAACTCCATTATCTTCTGATGCACTACCAGCCGACATTTCACTAATAATTTGGCGAGCTGCTTCACTTTGAAAAACTTGGTTTATATCGGTAATACTTTTATTCAAACTTTGCATTGATTCTGTTTTGCATTGATTTTGTAAGCTCCTGTATTCTTCTTTATGATTTGATACATTACCATCGGTATTTATATTGTTACTATTACGATGCTGATTCATATTATATCGATTTGAATTTGTTTGAGTTAACAATCTGTCTTTGTAGTTATTAGATTTATTTTGATAATTTGTTGATGTTGCAGTTGATACCGTGTAATTATGATTTCTATCAGATGTGGATATAGGATACGGATTCGTGTTACTGCTAGTGTTATGTTCGTTTTTATTTTGTGCGTAATAATCTGAATATCTAACTGGCCCACCAGGAGTAGTTTGCTTATTTGTCATCAACCTATGTTGCATTTCTTTTCTCTTACTATAATGATGATTTTGTTGTTGATGTTGACCATTCGAATAACTATTTTGTTTATAATGCTCATAATGATCGTTATATGAACGAGGGAGTGATTTCGATCGACCATGACTTTCTTCAGTATGATTTTGTATTATTTGAGGATCTTCTTCCATAACTTGATCTAAATTTTGGTTTGACATTGTGACTGCCGTCGATCCACGTTCACGATGTCTACGCTCTGATTCGCGTTTGACGATACGAACTGTTTTAATTTCTTGTTTTTCTTGGTTGGTTAAATTGGTGAACTGTGTATTTTCTGTGTAATCGTCGGCTTCAGTACGATGCCGATTATCTAAACTGTATATATCATTATCATTATTATGATTTTGAGTTGAATTATTTCCAGATGTATCAATGTATAGTGGAGTTGTTAAATTATCCGATGGCGATGATGAATTATTCGATGTATGATCTATGCTTACCATTGAATCAAGATCAGTTTCAGTCCAGCATGATGTATTACGACGTCCCTTCTGTGATTGATTTAGTGATGCTGTTATTGAAGATGCCTTTTCACCAATTTCTTTGTACAGGCGATTAGAATTTTCTGTCAGTTGACGTACTGCTTCACTTAAGTCCTGGCGCTGACGTTGCATATCTACAACAAGACTCTGTACTCGACGTAATTCAGATTCAAGAAGTGCCGTTGTTGAACTAACATATTGTGTGCTTTCACTACTAGGTATTCCACTTGCCTGCTTTATATTACCTTGTGATCCACGGCTTTCGCGCGATGCCTGCAATTTCTGTCGTAATATTAACAATTCTTGTTCCAACCTTGCATTGCTAGCTACGGTTTGTTCCAATTTCTAATAAACGAAATTATTGTGCCAATAGAAAAAAATAATTAGTAACGTTGCTGTAGTTAGAAAGAACAAATCAGTCGTTTAAACACCAAAAATATAACAAAGTTCAAATTGTGAGTTTAAACTTTATTGCACAGTTAATGATTATTTTCAACTAATTTGTCCGTTTAACACTTTTTGTTTAATGGAAAGATGAGTGCTTTATTTGTTTGAAATTAGCTACCAAAGCGTGTTTTGTTATATGGTGTTTGAGTGTTGGTTAGTTACAAGCGATTTTTAATGTTTTAATTGTAATTAAAGTTGCAATTGTGTTTGCTTAATTCAGTATTGAGTTTATTTGTTTTAAGTTTTTGTGGTTTAAGTTTTTTGTGTCTTTTTAAAAGTGCTTTTTTATTAAAATCAGAAATTTAAACAAATAAAACTGTAAAAAGCAAAACCAAAAGCAGCTTCAAATATGAAACAAAAAATTGTTGAAAACCTTCTGAAACACGTAATATGTACAAAATGAATTCAGAAATGTATTGCAAACCCTAAATACGAAGTGTTTTCAACAAAATTTTTTTTCATATTTTATAATTTTGATTTTTTGCCTAACGCGCAAATTAATAGGAAAGAACCAAAAAACTACTAGGCACCTCATCTACCTTAGAATTTTCAGCTAAAAGCTGATGAACACGTGATAATTCACGTTCTAGTATTAATTGTTGTTTTTTGGCCGCTTCTAATAGCAATGGAGGGCCTGTTGAATCTTGTATACGTGCTCTAAGACCACCCAGAGCGCGTTCCAAATCTTCTTTATCACGTTGTAAGCTTTGTAATGTGCCAGATTCTTCTTGTAATAGTTGATCAAGTTGGTACAGTTGTCTTACTTTCGACTGAATTTACAAAAAGGAAAAACATGTGCACAAAAAAAAAGCAAACAAACAAACCGAATAGATATTTTGTATTTAAATTTATATTGTGGAATGCTCCATTTTGTTAAAAAAAAAATTATTATTGTTATATTTTCTTTATTTTAATTTATTTTTTACTCTCTTTTACCTGTAATTCACTTTGATTTGGCGTTAAACCATCCCAGAATCTTTGTTCTTCCTGTAACATACGACGATCTGTTAAACGGTTGCTAAATTCAAGGCGATCAAGTTGAACTGATTCTGAACGCCGCTGTTGCGTTCTATCAATTATTGATGATGTTGATGATGATAAATGATGTGATGGCGACATTTGATGTTGACTTAAATTATTCCTACTCATACTATTTTCGTTGTTGCGATATAATGAACCTAATTTTACCATGTTATCAACTAAATTGACTAAAGGTTTACTTTTTTCATATTGCTTTTCAAGATCTAATAAATGTTGTTTTAAATAATCTAAACGTTGTATACTTTCAGCTCTTGTTAATCCTTCCGCTGATAATATTCGATTCTAAAAAAATTATGTTGAATCAAATTGATTTATATGAAATTTTTTACCGATAATATTTTTTTAAATACGTACAGGAATAAATAAAATGTAGCACAAAAAAGTTTTAATGTGTTTATTCTTGAAAATAAAAATATGTTTAAAGCATTAAATAATAGCGGAATGTCAATTTTTTATCGGACCTTTTTCAGTTTCAGTTTTATTCTTTTACTATCCAATTAAAATTAATAGTGAAACCTATTGTTAGTCTCATTAATTTGAAGCTCTCTAAAGTGATGGCGTTCCGTAATTTTATATAAAGTTATTGCAATAGACAAGTTTATATAATCAATTTTTTAAGTATGAATTCTTCGAACGTGTATTCATTCGAGAATAAGATTTGGTTTAGAAATTTAGGGACTGGTCATATTACTGTATTGGATGTACTTTTTCCAAGTTTATACTAATCACACAAGCACTACACACGAAATTGTTTAGATAAGTTTTGTATAAAGAGATAGTAATAAATTACTCAAAATTTAAAAAATTGGGAATGAATTATTCTTTCGCTTTTACATTATATTCAAATAAACATCAAGTAAACAAAAAAAATTTATTGAAAAAAAAAATTAAGAAAATTTTCAATTACAGTTTTTAACTGTTTAGCTTAATAACATATAAGATAACATAAACATAAAAAACAAAAATAAAAAAAAATAAAATATAACCTGTGCTTCATGAATATCAGTACAGCATTGTTCAATAGCCCTTGCTATTTGACTACTTTGACGTCGTAATTGTATGAGCAGTAATACTAATTCTTCATGACTTCGGCTTAACAAATCTCCAGCAGAAACGTCTAAATTCTTATATATTTTTCAATTTCCATTACAATTACAATTGTGTTTATAATTAAAGTGCATTATATGTGTAATATTGTTGAAAACATAAAAAAAAATCAAAATTAATTGGAAATAATTATTAAAATTAAAATTTGTGAAAACAAAAATAAGTGATAACACGCTTAAAACAAAAAATAATAACACACACATAACACTTGCAAATCTATATATTCATACTCGTATATAAATATATTGGCATATATTTATGTATGTATAAGTTATATATTATTTAAAAACTTACCCTAATTTGTGAACTTGTCTCACGTTCTAAAATATCAATTTCAGCTCGACTACTTGTTTTACGCAGAGGATAATTATTATAATTATCACGTTGCATTTGTAATTCATATTCATTAGGTTCATATTGATTATAATAATTATTTCTTTCATTATAGTATCTAACTTCGGATGGTGTTGTTGCATAGGGATCATAATAAGGATCATAACCATAACTTGGATCTGATGGATCTGGCTTCACATGTAAATTGCTTCTCGGTATATTACGAACATTATGAATTGATATGGATGCTGCAATATTAAGTTATAAAAATAAATAAAGTTCATTCAAGTAAATTCGACGAAACATTCACTGTCTTTTTTTTTTTTTTAGGAAATAATTAGTAATTTTATTTGAATATCTATCTAATAATATGAGTATATTTTTTTATTATGAATAGCATTTATAACATTAATTGCATTATTAATTGTAATAAACTATTCTTCAAAATAAATTTTCATTTAAAGTTTAAATTTCTTTTTTGAATTAAATTGATTTCCAATTTTTACTCAATTTTAGAAAATTTTAATTTTTTGTTAACTAATGATCACAATTCAACTTTAATCATCTTACAACTTCTAATTATTCTTTTTTATAATTTCTATTTTGTATGATAACATCTATAAAATTGTAATGGTGATAATATTTGATTATTGGTGAGTGATGTAAAGTGAAAATCATAGAACAAATATTCTACTAATTTTTGGTTACGTAAGTTTGTAATTTACGATTAAAGAAACATTTGGATTGCAACGATTTTAGCAATCGAAATTTTTGTGTCAAAATCGAGATTTTCAAATTAGACAAATATGGTCTAATACTAGAAGATAAGATTTTTCATTAAAATTTGATAACAACATTTTTAACAAAAAAAAAGTTATGATTGCAGTTTACTTTCTGATTCAAAAAAAAATTATTTATTTCTGTAGTTTAAAACAAAAATCCTTGAAAATCATTATAACTTACAAATTGCTTTAAAAATTATTCTGACAAAATTAGATATTAAGGGTTTTTGTTTGTTGAGATCATAGTATTATTTAAGAAGGCACTGAAATTTAAATTTTCTTGTTTTATACTCTTTTCTAATGCAAATAATATTGTATTTTTTTACCGTATCGTATTTTTTTCCTATCGAATTCAAAGGTGACACATTTACCTTTAAAACAGAAATTTAAAATCAATTTTTGAAAAGAAATGTTTGTTTTCTAAGTTTATTTGAAGAATAAGAAAAATTAATTTTTTAAATTGAAATTAATTTTGCAATTGTATTGAATACTATTTTCTCACTTTGAATATTTTGACAAAATTCAATTTAAATATTTAAATAAGAAATTTTTGAGTTGTATAGATTGACAACTTTTCCTGAGATCTTGTATCAGATCTACTGCGGATCTACTATTAATAAAGACAAATTTAAACTCAATTCGTAAAACTCAAACGAGATTTATTTCGAATCTCAATTTGTAAAAATAAAAATCTCAAACGAAATTTTTATTTTTATGTTATTTTTTTTACGAATTTAACTAATATGAAAAAAACACAAATAAAAATTGATTAAATGAAAATTTTATAACATTTATTTTAATATGTATATAAAAATGTTTATTTATTTTAAATAAATGTAATAAGTTTAAACAATCCAAATAAAATGAAGAAAAGGTAAAATAAAAATTAATTCGAAGGTAAAAATCTAATTACAAGTTAAAATTATTTATTCCTAAAACTTAAATTACAGAATGTTTTTTGTGGCATGTTGTAGCAAACTAATAAAAATGATCTTACCATAATGATTAAAATATAAACATTAAATAATTTCTTTTTCAAATAAAAATTAATTGTTTTTTAATTATAAAAAAAATAAAAAATTAAATAAGGCATAATGTATGTATATGCTTATTTAGTTCAATTTTATAATTTTTATTACTGGCATGATATTTATTAATTTATAATATTTCCAACGATTTGCATAGCACTAACATTGCACTAATATTGCTTTCTAACTTATTCGATCATTTATTGTATTCACAAATGCTTGCAATTGTTTAGAAATGTCTTGCTTTTCTTCGCTCCTATAAATTCTTATTATTATAATGACGAATTTGATGTTGCAGAAGTTTGTTGCGTTGATTTGCCATATACAATAATGTTATTGTGCTCTTTGTTGGTATTACAATTATTGTTATTATTTCTATTATTGCTTGTTTTTACCACGTTTATGCTAGGATAGTTATTGTTATTATTTAAAATAGCCTCATTTCCGTCTATTACTTCATAGTTTCTATTTATTACTTTATTTTTATTTAATTGAATTAAATTTGTATTCAAGATTCCAGTTCCTATACCACTACCGCCACCACCACTGCCACTTTTTGATGACGCTGATGAACTATTTTTCATTAGCCCACTTGACATGGAATCCCATTGTCTTATTGTTTCACGATCAATTTCAATTGATTTCCGGGAGTAGTTTGAACTAGTGTCTTCTCTTAATATTTCATAAACATCTCCTGTATCAATATCATCGTCATCATCATTATCAATAATATCGTTAATCATATTTTCATTATTTTGATGACGATGATGATGACGTGCTAATAACGTTTGGTTAGCTAATTGAACATAGACATCATTCTCATTATTATCGTCATAAATACTATTTACAAAAACATTGTCACGTTGTGAAATAAGTGAACCATGCGGTGTCGATGATCCAGCTGACGTTGTTGGAACGAATTCATTTAACCTTGAACGAAAATTCTTAGTTCTCAGTAATTGTTGTGATACATTGTCATTGACATATGTAACATCACGTGATATTTTTGGTTTAATTTGTACTTTTGGATATACTTTTGAAAAATTTGCATCGCCTTGATCTGACTGCTTTGTTGCATTGCCCTTTTGTTTCGTTGTCGAAGTGTTTTGTTGATATTGTACGGGAATTTTATTTAAATTAGTTCCCGAATTGCCTGATATTCGATCTAAATCATCTAAAGATCGTGCGTGCCTTTGTGAAACGCGTCTTAAGCTTTCACGCCATAGCGTATCTTCTTCCCACATCTCTTCGCCAATTTGTTCTTGATTTGGCAAAGTTGTTATTATGTTTAATGTTGCATCATTATTGTTATCATTGTTAGAATTATTTGTGTCATTGTTATTGTTATTATTTGTGAGAGGTGACATAACTAAAAATTCTTTAGTTTTTGGTGAACAATCTTGATTTTTTAGAGATGATGAACTTAAGTTTAAATTACTATGATTTAATAAAATCTGATTATTTTTGTTAAGCTTGACTATAGGAAATACACTTTGATTTGAACTGGATTGTGCTTGAAATTTTGGTTGATGTTGTTTTTGTAAATTTGATTCTATTGCTATTACCGTGTCAGTATTACTAATATCATGCTCATTAAACTTATTATTAATGTTATTATTATTACTATTGGTATTAATATTATGATGATAATGTTGATATTTTAAATGCTGTTGTTGATGCTGTAATAACTGTTGTGACATTGGAATTGGTGTAGTTGATGTTGTTGATAGAACTGTTGGAGATGCCAAAGAATTAGTAGACGAATTGGATGTATTTGATTGTGATAACATTAAAATTGAGTTTTGTGATATGTCTCGATGAAGACAATGATAATGAAGTTTAGGATGATGTAAATTTGACTGTGTTGCCGACGATGATGATGATAGTGATGTTTTACACAAACTTGATGTGGTTAATGAGTCATCAAATGAATTGTTATTACTGTTATTATTTTTTTCATTATAATTACTGTTATTGCTATTATTTGATGATGATTTGGATTGTTTTGCTGCCACCACATTTTGTATTTCAATAGACTTATTATTATAATGTGATAATAATGTATTATTGTTGCTGCTACCATTATTGCTATTTAGGTTGTCAATGTTATTGTTATAATTACAATTTTGTTGTAAATTATTAGAAATATTGACATTGTTATTGTTATAATTATAATTACAATTGTTATTATCTAAACCACCAACAATGCTACCAATTAAAGGAGATTTTAAATTTTTATTGCACAATTCCTTAATAATATTTTTATCAAGACTAGGTTTTGGCATATTATAAATAAAATCTTCGTTTTGATTTAAAAGATTTGTGGCATGTTCAGCAATATCGCAAACATTTGCTTGTTCTGGATTTGTGGTTTTTCCAGATTGATTTAAATTTGTTAAAGAATTCCTAGATGCTAGTCTTATAGGGTTATGAATGTGTGAAATACCAATAACTCCACCACGATTTGGATTTATATCGCGTTGATTGTTAAGCTGGTACTGATTTGATATATCCCGCGTACTGAATTGTTTAGTGTTGGGTGTACTACTACAATCAGTTTTATTTATTGACACATCAGGTGATAAGTCAGAATAGTAATAGGGAATTTGGTTTGATTGATCAGAAATATTACTATTGTTACGGCTATGTAATGGAGTATTTTGAGTGAGATCAAAAGCTGTACAAAAACTGGTTTGATCCATATCTACAGAAGAAACTGTTGTACTTTTAGCTATCTCAATGTTATATGACCCATCAAACTTACTTAAATCTTCATTATCTAATTGCGCGTTATGTAACGAAAGATTTTTCTCTTTTAGTAAAGATGGAGTTGTTGTATTCCGGTTCTTAGCTTTTAATGTTCCACTTTCATTTTTATTCAAATCAATTCGATCATCATCATTTCCGATCTTTTGTAATGAATCCGTGGATGATATAAATTTAATATTGCCATAAAAATGCTCATCACCTTTGTTTCTAAATATTTCCGGAGGTTTTATTAATGCATTAGTTAGCAAAGGATCATTTGAAGTATTTTGGTACAAGTAAAGGTCGCTTGTCTGCAGTCTACTTAAATATGTATCCAAATCAGCACTTGCAGCTAAAGAGTCGTATTCAAATTGTTCGCTCATGGCCGATTCAATCTCGCTTATAGAATCTTCAGATAAGGGACGTCGACTTCTCTGTCTTTCCAATTCTGAATCGGATCCTAGCCGTTGTCTTAATTCAACTGAATCAGTTTCACTACTGTCACCCCCACCAACGCTTAAGCTTGTTTTGTGTGTAAACCTTCGATTTAATATGTTGACATTACCTGTTGGATATTGTGGTTTTCCAGGTATAAAAGAGGGTGAATTATTTTTTAATTTATTGAACAATTCAAAATCAGAAGACGTATTTGAGCTATTATCTGTATGAAAACTGTAATTAGAATCAGATAAATTTCTTTCTCTGTTCTTGCTAATATTTGTTTTTAAGTGTCTTAATTTGCTGAACTGGTCAGGTAAGGAAAGCCTACTACTTTTAAGAACTTCATTTTTTGTCAAGTTAAGTGATGAATTACTGGAATGGATTTTTTGAATTTGGTCTAAGGACAAATTAAGCTTGTCTTTTCGTTTAACAGTATCGTAATTTTCTGACGAAAAAATTTCTTCAGTGTTCATATCCGCATCCATCGGTGGAGTTGTTGATGGAATAGGAGGAGGTGATATAATTTCACTATCTGAACTTTCTGCACAATCTGCAAGGGGAGTGTTAGCACTAAGATAATATGAGGCTGGTCTGAATGTGTCTGAAAGACTAAATCTTGATCTCGATCGCATTTTGTTTGAACCATCAGATTGTTCTTTTGAAGTTGATTCATCATCAGCATCAGAACTATCACTTGCAATAGCAGTGTTTTGTGAAGGTTTAAGAATATCTGGTAAATCTTTACGTTTCAAAGTAGATGCAGTTAGTGATGATGAACCAGAGAATTTTTTGTTTTTTTTCTTAATATCAATTTTTTTCAACGTACTTTTCTTTATAGTAGACTTACCATTTTGTAACGCATCTTCTAAGGGTTTGGATTCTTTTAGTTTTGAGGAACCGTCATAACTTTCAGATTTTGAATGTTTTGATTGAGCTAGTTCCATGTAAACTGGCTCAGAATGATGGTGTTGATGAAGAAATATTTTTCCTTGGTGCTGCATTGTTGATGAAATACAAACCGTTTCATAATTTGATTTTGATTGATTGTCTTTTTCTCCTTTTGTCATTTCAACGTATGGATTTTCTTCTAAATCGCTATTAATATTATGCAAAAGTGGAAGGCTATTTGTTGGACTTAAAATTGCTTTTTTCGGTGTCATAGGTAAGTAATGATCCTCATTAGACTGCGGTTGTGTTGGTGTTTTTGGTCCATTTTCATATAACATTTCCGCATCTTCAGGTTTATCTGACATTTCGATTTTATCGTTCTTTACCGTTTCATTGCTTGTTGAAAGTGATTTGTTTGTAATATCATTATAATGATTATTTTGTTTTTCATCAGTTTTTGAAATCATATTTTCATCTCCTTCAGGGTGTGTAACATTAACTTGTAATTCATCGCTCTCAGCAGCCAATGCTTCATTTAAATCGTCATCTGTAAATTCAAAAGTATTCTGTAATTCGTCTTCATTTTCTTCTTCGTTATTATCAATATCAACAAGATCATCAGGGTCTTCTTCACCTCCGAATTCAGATATTTGCGATTCAAATAATTTTGAACTTTCATCTATATCTTCTGTATGATTTTGTAAATTTTCTTTTTTAAGTGAAACTTGAGTTTCATAAATTTTTTCAATATCTTCGTAATTATCAGCTACTACATTTGTCTCGAGAGATGATTTTGAAATTTGTTGGCTGTCATACATTTTGATTTCATGTATTTTTGTTTCATTTGTCAAAGATGTTTGATTATTGTCTAAATTGCTTAGAATTATTTCAGAGGTTTTCGATTTTAAACGATTTTTTTTCATGCTACTAACACGTCGACTTTGCCTACCTTGAATAGGAGGACGACAATCTAAATTTTGAGTTTCTTTATTTTTGCGATACACAATCTTTATGTCATCATAAGTTTTGCCTTCTTTTTTTGGATTATTATTTAAAGCAGTCTTCGCTTTGTAAACTGGAATATAATTTACGTTCTCTAACACTGAAGAATTTAAATTTGGATATTCCGATAGTTTTTTCGTAACGTTAAAATTTTCATTATATTTTTTTATTGAAGTTTCCACATGTGGTTTTATAATAGAGTCGGGCGATGAAATGCTATTATTTCTATTGTATTTATCTGAGATTTTAATACCAATTTTTGGATTAGCTAAATTTACATTTTTTACATTTATTGCTTTCAATCGTGTATTTTTAGTGCATGTGTCTATTTCACTCATACTGGGGGATTTTTGGTTTAAAGAAGACATTAAAGTGGCAGTGGTTATGGTTTTGTGTGGAGGAGGGGTAGTGGTAAAAGTGGTAGAAGTTGTAACAGTAGTGGTAGTAGTAGTATTAACAGTAGTAGTAGTAGTTGAAAGATTTGTTGACCTTCCTGCCGGCGTATATTCTGGTACATCTGACGAAATGAATTATATTTTGGGAATATTAGATTTATGGTCATAGTTATGCATCTTTTTTATTATTTAAATATAATTTTGCATTTATTTTTTTGAATTTTACAATAAATTTTATTTTAAATAAATTCAAAATAAAATTTGAAAAGTGAATTAGTTTAGTATAGGTAGAAAATACAATAAAGTAAGGAAAAATTAATTCCGTTTTTAAGGTAAATTCTAAAGGAAACTAAGATGACAGGGCGGAAAGGAAGCCAAACCACCAGAATTTGATAAGGATATTTTATTCGAGATGTAAACATTTTTTTCTAATACTTTGTAAATAATATGCGTTTACCTAGATTTATGCGTTTACCATTACCATTTATTATCAGTGATTTATGTATTGTTATGTGATTTTACATTCAAAATTTTGAATCATTGTTAGTGTTTACCAAGTAATTTAAATGTCTATTATCAAATTTAATATTTTTTGTTGCACATTCTTTTTTCAATTAATTATGTATAATTGAAATTTTGAAAATTCACGAAAATTGCTTTTTTTTTTTTAAATAAATATATTAAATTTGATAAAAAACTAATTACAATACTTTTAAAAGTTAGTCTTATATGAAATAGTGAAATTAATTAGAATTAAAAATAATATTAAGTTAAATATTATACAATATTTTTATATTTATTTTTTTGGAACGTTTTTAAAATATTTTGCGCGCACAGCCGGCAGGAAGGTAAAAAAATATTTTCTATTTTGAAAAATAATTAAAATTATTGTTAAAAGGGTGTAAAATAAATTTAATAAAAATGAAAAATACAAAATAAATAAAACAATATTTTAAACTAAAATTAAAATAAATTAAAACAAAAGTATTTTATACTTATAGCAAAACTACAAAAAGCTTGATAAGAAACCATTACATTTAATAAATTAGATATATATACAAAATACAGAAAAATTTTAGTTATATACTTAAAAAAATTTTATAAAATATTTAATTCATTAAAATCACATTAAAAATGATCAGTTTAACAATAAGCAAAAATTATGAATAAAATTTCTTCAATTGTAAAAATTTTGCGGCAAAAAATTCCTGTTAAATACATACAATAATTTTTAATACAATTTAATAACAAAATTTGCATATTTTTTAGAGTATTAACTATATTCTGGCTTAAAAATAAAAATTCGTTTGCGATTCATCAATGCTGTTAATAGCAACAAAAATTAATTGGATAAATTTATTATCATATGATGAAAATCGATTATTACTTTAGGTTTTTAGTGATTGGTCTTTAATTTGAAGAAGAAAATTAATGTATGGCATACGATATTTCCGATGGGTTTTGTAATTTTAGTATTACGAAATTTGTTTGTTGGAATTCTATAGGAAATTTATTGTAAAACAGTTTGTTTTTAAATATATATATACATTTTTCATATAAGCTATCGCTTGCCGCGTTGACTTTTTTCTTTAATTTTAACAAATAGTTTTTAACATACCATAGATAACCATATTAAGTTCAAATCAATATTTGAACAAAAATACAATATTTACAGTTCGAAACATTATATTATTATTTAAAAAAAAAAAATTGCAATTTATGGAACTCAAATTATTTAATTTACCAGTTTTATCGACGTCATCCTCAAATATAAAATCATACGCTATGGTAATATGCAATTTAAATAGAAATTGCGTTTAAAAAAACGACAAAAATTGTAAAGCCTTAAAACCGGGTTAAAGTTTTGTTGCAAAAAAAATTAATTAAAACGTTTAAGAAAGATCTTAACAAAAAAAGTATTTTAAGACAATTAATCTTTTACTTTGAGATTGAGTTAATTTTACTAATTACTTAGATACTACAGTTTCGATAAATAAAAAATACTACGTAAAATAATAACGAAATTTTGCAATTCCTCAAGTTTAAAAGAAATTAGATTTAATTTATTATTAATAATTTTATTTAGATGTTGTCTAAAAATACGTTACTATTACCTATTTTAAAAATTCTCTGAAATACAGTTCTACTTTTTAAGATGCTACAAAAAGAATTTCGCTACTGATTTTTTTTTCTAGAAATAACTTCATGCTTTTATTAAACGCTATTATATGTATGTACATATATGAATATAGCGTGCACCAGCAAAGATTAAACTGTTAAGTAACTACGATCTATTCTAATAGTGAAAGAGAGATAATAGAATACGAAAACGAAAAAAAAAATAAGAAAATAAGAAATGCATCATATTTCAAAAAGCTTTTGAGCATTAAAAAGATTGCACATTAAGCAGCAATTTAAGAAGCAATTATTTAATATTAAATGAATTACACTTACCTTCATCGTCTGAAGAGTAACTGTTATAGCCGGCATTGGCATGTGTCTCAGATCGACTTCTCTGAATACCACTGGAACTGTGTGGCGCCAGTATATTGGGATTACTCCCTAATTTTAAAATAGATGGGGAACCTGATTGTTGTACACCTTTTCTTGTTAATGGTGATTGTAGCATTCGTTGCTTCCATTCTAAAAGCCTTTTCATACTTTCCTCACGCTTACGTTCACCATCTTTATGTTGTGCATTCAATACCTCTGGATCTTCAGTTTTTTTGGGTAATCGTGCACTAGCAGATCTTAAAAATTGTTCATTTTGTTGCATTTGTCTTAATTGATATTCTTTAGCTAACATTGATGTTGGAGTAGCAGCACCGCCATGTGAGCGATGATTTGCTCTAGGTACACTAAGAGCTCCATGGTTTAAAAAGGCTTCATTAAGGAGTTCATTTCTTTTTACGGTTCGCTCGTAAGGATTTTCATAACCTATAGTATTCATTCCAGTTGCATATGGACTTAAATCTGCTGCAAGGGCACGATTATTGTTGTAACCAACATTTCCACTTCCTATGCTCGATGAATTATGACTTGGGGATTTTTGCAAATACAAAGCACTCTGACGCATTTTTTCAGCGTAACTTTCTTCAGAATAATAATAACTGTCTGGTGTTCTGTTAATATCTAAGCTAGATTTTGGTCTTTGAGCTCTTATTGCGTCAGGTCGAACGGCAGATGCAGCAGCCTCAACTCTTGCTTCATATTCTAAGAAATCAGCTGAGTGTGGTCTATTTAAGCCAGTGGTACTTCTTGATCTTAAATTCACATGTGAATGAGGCTAAAAATATATGAAAATATTTTGTATAAAATCGAAACTAACTTTATCTTATATATACTCACGTCTAAATGATTTGGTGTATATCTAGATGGCATTGATGGAATATGTTTTTGACTATTATAGCTAGGTGGACTCAATGGTCTACGGTATTGTCCTAAGTCACCTTGATTTAGTTGTTGTGTTGCTAAATGTTTATCTTGTTGCATTAAGTTGTAGATGTCTTCATAATCAGAAAAGAAACGTCCTGCACTTTTAGAGCGACCATATGCATCCGGCGTTCTTCGTTCTACATTCGGATAAGGTATGCTGTTTATTTGCCCTTGTAACCTTTGTTGAAGTACCCTCTGCATATAAATGTTGTGTTCACTACCAGTTCCATAGATTTCATCACCAGAAGGACGTTGAGAATGTGACCGTCGCATTTGCTCATTGCCCACTTCCATGCTGCCTAGGTTGTATATCCCAGGAACTGGCTGCTGTTGTTGATGTTTTTGTTGTTGCATGTTATTGTTAGATGACATTTTAGTAGATGCTACGCTTCTGCTTTCCTCATAATGTTTAGTATTTCTTTTCTCTGGACGTTGCTGTTGACTAACATAATGATTTGCAGACTGTGAATTCCCTTCGGTTGAATTAGGTATTCCCAAAGCAGATTTAACATTGCCCGTCCTTGTATCGTATATGGCATGATGTTGGGATTTTTGTTGCATTTGCTTTATTGATGGTGACATCATTCCAGCACTCTTTCTTCTCATTTGACTAGGATTGCTCTCATTCCTAAAAAAAATAACGTATTAAAAAATTACATCGAAATTATACGCTCAAACGCTTATACTTATTATTCTCTCGATATTGTTTTTTAGTTTTTTAATTAAAAAAAAATGCTTAAAATTATGTGCTATTGCATGATGAATTACCTGTCTATTGAATTTTCAGGACTGGGCGACGAATATCCCCCATCATTAATTCTGCGTGGCTTAGGAGGCGCATTTGCATAAAGCGGTTGTATTCCACCTCCATTATCTGATGCAGGAGTTATCGGGCCGTGTTGCATACTTAATTTACTTTGTTGTGACGATTGGAATGTGTGGATTCCAGAATCAGAATTTTCTCCACTGTGATTATTTAAGGATGAATTGCTAGGTTGCGAATTTTGATCTGACGACTCTCCACTACCTTGCATCAAAGTTGCTGCCATTAATGCTCGTACCCATTGGTACATTTGCTCGGAGTTTTCTGCTGCTAACCAATACGTTCTCATATTTGTATGCTCACATTTAAATGCATATTTCCTGTATATTTTATCTTCAGGTAAGCAGGCAGAGACTTTGTATGACGGTAGGAGAATTGAGCCTAGCAACTTTTCTTCTTCAGGTCCTTTGTAATAGTATAAACAATATTCAGCCAAAACAAACCACCTTTTACGCCATACTTTTAGCCCATCAGAACCTTGTTTGTATAACCAGCCAGATAAAGTGACAGGTGACGAGGCTGGTCTTTTTGTAATTGGTGATTTTATTGCCTGAGATGCACCAGAACTTTTCTTTCGATCTAAACCTGGATGAGTTGGTGATTTTGTTGACGCGGGAGAGTTTGATGATTCTTCTGTAGAAGATTGAGGAGTTTTTTGCTGATTTAATTTGCTTGTAGTCGCCGTTGATGCTGTTCCGGTCGCACTTGGCGTTTGTGGGGATTGAAAATTATTTAGTTGAGATTGTGGTAAAATTTTTGTACCACCAATAGCACCGGATATTTGTGTTTGACAAGCTTGATTAACAACATGACCAGGATGATTTTGTTGAATGTACACAGGACTAGGATCAGTTGCCGATTGCATATTTTGTTGATAGTTTTGATTTGCTTCATTTATTTTTTCTTGCGTAGCTACTATATGATTATAATGTTTTTGCAACATTGCATTTTGTTGTTGCAATAATGTTTGATTGTTTTGCGCATCAAGTTGCTGTTGATGGCGATGTTGTTGCTCGAGAGTATTTATTTTTACTGGGCCTTGAGCTGGCTGAAATTGACTACTTAAATTTAAAGTTGAAGGAGGTGCATTACGATGAGGTGCCGCTTGTTGTGACTGTTGCTGAATTTGCTGCGATTGCATTGAAGCGGACGCCACCATTCCCGCTATATTTTGTTGACTTTGTAAATGCAAATGAGGAATCGGAGGATTTAGGGCTTGCCTCATTGCGAATGTTCTTTGTTGGATCATTAAAGCTTCATTTTGAGTTTGTATTTGTGCTTGTAATTTAGCTTGTTGCAATTGTTGATATGACTGTTGCAGTGCCGTAACAGGATTACCTCCAACCGTATTATTAACATTTTGCGCTGATATGACTCCTCCCGTAATAGGATCTATTGTTCTACCACTTGCATTTATTTGATATGCACGTGCTTCTCTAGATGACTGATATAATTGTTCACCATAGGGATTTTGATGATTTTGTTGTATATAACCACTAGATTTTGCTAACGTGTTATGATGGCCAACTGGTTGAGGAGGTGTATCTATTGGTGTTAATTGGCTACCACTTGATGGAGTAGATTGATTAGTAGAATATTGAGATTGTTGTTGATGATGGTGATGTGTAGGGATTAATTGACCACTACTACTCGAGCCGCCACTTAAATTCATTTGGGCAAAATTTGAAGACATTGTTTGATATTGTTGAAAAACTGGTGATTGTGATGAATGATGATAATCGCCCATAGTATTCGTTTGATATATGCTTTGATAACCACCAGTTAGAGGAATTTTCTTTTGATGCGGGGCTAAATGTGAATTTGCTTGCTGTAATTGTTGAAGCTTTTTGCTCTCCATAGTTGTCGTGAAGAGTGGCGGGGAATCTAGCCTATAAAAAAGTTTTATGTAAGTATAGGTGGAAAGTAAATTTTTTTCATAATAATATATAAATATAATTTGCAATCGAAAAATAAATAAGTAAATAATACACACAGAAATATTTTGTTGCATCCAAGGAAATAGCTACAGCAAAATATCTTGTTTATGGTGCGCTTAGACCATATGGAATATTAATCTTTACATTCAACACACGTATTTATTGTTATTTGACCTGTTTAGAATATTGTTAAAGCATAAAAACCTTCCCAAATCAAGGTTCAGTGATGAGGTTCATTTTTTTCATAAAGGGTACATTATACATTTCATATAGGTGGTACATAATGGGTACATTATGAAAAAAATCAACCTTATCGATACAATAGATCCTATAGATCCTTCTTAAATTTTGAATTCTAAAAATCTAGAAAATATTTTAAATCTAGAAAAATGAGACCGATGAAATGGTCATATACTAAATAGTCATAAAAGAAGATCGTAACTTGCCGTTTGACAAACACAATTGTCGACCTATAAAAATAAAAATCTGATTACATGTCCATTTTGTGATGAGACTGTGTAAAGACACTGATTTATTTTAATAAACCAGTAACATTTGACGTTTTTTATAAAAGTAAACAGAAACAAAATGTATGTAAACACAATGCAAAATTCGACGTCGAAAATTCACTGTTTCACCGAAGCTAACGTGTGGTTTTTTTAATTTGAATACTACTATTTAAAGTCATATTAACAGTTTCAGAAATAGATTTAATTTTATATTTTGTTGTATGGACTAGTAACTCGATCGAGATCAAAAGTTAGTTTTTTATAAAGGCTTAATGGTTTGAAAATAAAAATTTTTATCTCAAATCAAATAAATTTCAATTTTATTTGATTTTGATAATGTCACATAGAATCCATCTTTATTTTTATTAAGCATGCTAATGAAAATAATATATTTTGAAGTTTTTGCAAAATTAAGCATTCTTCAAAAACCGCTAAGTGTTCTAACTCAAATAATCTAGCTTAACACATTAAACATCAAGAAATTCTAAGGCGAGACAAACTTACCAGTCCCATAATGTTGCGATACAGGTGAACATTTTTTAAAATTATTAATTTGGTTTTATTAATAAAAAATTATTATCACCTTTTGTAATTTTCTATATAATATTAAACTATTTATTAAATTTATTTTTTTTATTATAATAATATATTAAATCGTGTTTTTTAGTCATTTTTTTACATTTAAATGCATTTACAAAGTTTTTTATAAAAGTCATTTTTTTTGTTTGTTTTTGCTTTGCTTTTGTTTTGTTATTTTTATTGCTATAAAATTAAATTTAATTCATTTTAATCCCTTATTGTGGAAACTTATTTCTATTTTCATTAAATAAATTTTATTTTTAAATTATTTAAATAAAAATAATTACTTTTTATTGTTTTGTAATTGTTTGAGTAATAAATTGTACTATAAAAATATTTTTTTATTAAAAAATTTTTATATTTTAAAAACACCTATGCTAAACTAAATAAATTACAACTCTTAAGAAGAGTTGGGGTGCGAAAATTGTAGGACGAAAATCAAAGTGTGCATAAATGTTATGTGTTTTTTTCCGTTATGGATTGTTGATAAAATATTTTGGGTAATATGGCGAAATATTTTGATAAATATGAAATTTTTTTTACATGTACAACATTTTGTATTTACACGTACATATGTATGTACACAATGCAATAAAATATTTTATGATTATGAAAAAATTTGCAATAATTTTTCATGTTCTATTGCAAAACAAAAAAAAAAATATCATATAAAAAACACCGCATCACAATTCTTAATATTTTTCAAAATTAGGCCATTTGGCAAATCCAAATAAAAAAGCAAAAATATTTTTTTTTCTTACATTACATTCAAAATTTTACAGCAGCGCTTCTTGAATTTTAAAATTTCAAGAAATTTACCGGGGCGGTAAATAAAGTACGTAACGTAAATACATGACAAATGGATGGTTCATTAGTGACCTAAGTCCATTTATAATTTTAAAACTTTTTTTATAACTAAAACAATGATAATATAAGTAGTTGGAATTAAAACATATGATTCACTTTGTTTAGTTATTTCGAAATCTTCTCCATCTTGATTAGATTTGAAATTGACAATGTGTGGGCAATGTCAAAAATAAAAATATAGAAATCCGAATAGCAAAAGAATTCTCGTATTTGAATCTTAAACACTTTAATATGCTAACGTCGCTGTTTCAGAGTGAGGTATAAAAGATAAAATATTGTGCGTTTACATTTGATTTATATATATATTTGTATATGAATACATAATATACGTAATAATATATGTAAATTTTTTGTATGCTTATAGCAGTATAAAAATTTTATTATGTGAATTTGTACGAGTATATGTTGGAATTTGGATTTTATGTACATATTTTGCTATAAACTTTTGGTTTGAATTATTGATGGTGATTTTTATAGTTTTTGGATACACATAAATTTTGTGATAAAAGAGTTTTTTTTATGTTTTTCCTTAGAGTTTTTTTCAAAAAGAAAAACTGCATTTAATTTTGTATAATCTATGAAAAAGTTCTTTTGTAAAAGGAATACATTATCTTATAAAGGGTAATCGCGGTTATATGCAGGGCAGCCCCGGATTTATCATACATGCAAAGTATGCATTTGCAATGGGCGATAAAAAATAGGGGCGCCATTGAAAACTTAAAAAACCCCTAAATTTAAAAAAAAAAAATTTTCACCCAAAAAAAAGGATTCCAAGTTTTTTTTTATACATCAATTTATAGCGAAATTAACTTAATAAAATCTACCTACAGGCAAACACAATATTTTGTTCCTACACATATTTTCTATTTGCACCATATAACAAAAAATGTTCATAGAATTAAAATTACTCATACATTTCTTTACTCTACACTACTCTTTCATTCTTATTTTTTATGTATTGTATATGCCTATAAACACAGAATATTATTTCACACAGCTGTATACATTCAAACGTTCATATATATAAGTGAAATCGTCTCATATAATATACATACATATATAGAAGCAATGTACGCAACAAATAAAAATATTCAAAAATACACATGTACACATAATTTATATTGTCTAATATGAATAAGATCAACACTCATGCGTACACATATAATTATCTCATAAAGCAAAATTTTTATTTTGCTGAGATTGCTCCCTATCAACACTCGCTCGTACACATATAATTATATCACAAAGCAATGTTTTTATTATGCTTAGTGGCTACACTCGTTCGTACACATTATATTTAAATTGTTTCATACATGCAAAATTTTATTTTTGCTTAGTTGGCGCCCACTCACCAAACAAACAAACACATTATTATAATGTATTACTTTTCTGTATACTATTGCATTAGTAAACAACAAGAACAAAACAAAAAAAACACAAATTAAGAATGAGAATAGAAAGAAATTAGAAAAAGAGAATGAGAGCAATATTCTTAAATGATGGAAAGCATAGCTTGATATTGAGATTGTGTATACCAATATTTTGTTTTTGTTTAACAACAAAAAATTTTGAATGAATTTTAAAATTACATGATCGTTATGAATTTCTACTACTATGTTCTGCTTTCGTTTTTGAAAAAACTGTTATCAATCACAGAATTAAATTTTAATTGATAAAATCTACTACTTATATTGAATTGAAAAATGTTGTTTAATAATCAAGTGAATGTTAAGAATTTTTATGCTGAATTGATGTAGTGTAAGTCATCCAAAAAATAAGAGTAAAATGAAATGGCGCATAATTTGCTTCACACATTTATCTCCAAAATTAAAACAGTTAAGCAAAACGACATTCTGAAATTTCAAAACCACGAGCCTATAAATACCAGTAAATGCATTTATTTTAATAAAATCTAAAAAATATAATGAACAGTATAAAAGCTTATAGCTATGTACATGAAAAGCTTAGTTTTTAAGTCACAAATTTTAGAACGAAACTTTGATTTTCCTTAAATTTTTGAATGCAAGTCGAAACTTTTTTTATACGCTGCTTCATTTCTCAGGCGATTTGTGAAATAAAAAGCCAAATTTTACGAATAAAAATAAAAATAATTATAAAAATAAAAATAAAATAACGAATAAAAATAAAAATAATTTTTTACTTTTTTTCATATTCAAATAAGCTGTGAAAAAGTTCATTTGATATAATTTTCATAGAACCTTTTACAATAAGTTTCACTTACGTCAAAAAGTAAATTTTTTGGTTGTTAAAATCAAAAAATCAAGTTTAAGTGATTGATATAAATCTGATCATAACTTCATAAAAAAACGTACAGTTGAATAAATTACCTTGTTTTTGAATTTATAAAACAAAAAATTGAAAGTTTAGTTCCAGACTTTAATTCTATAATTCAGCACAATAAGGTTACAAGAAACTGCTTTATGATGCACAATGTGCAATGCCTATTAAATTTTGTTCACAGTAATAAAATAGGTGAAAAGGTTGAAGGGGGGGGGCGCACTTTTTAGGAACCGCTTAGGGCGACGAATACATCAGAACCGCGCCTGATGCAGGGTATAATAAAAGAGTGTGTAAGCATAGGTATAAATATATGTGTGTTTTTATATATGGAGTTTCTACAAAATTTTGAATCTAAAAATTGAGTTTAACGATAAACTCTAAAGTGAATATTAATTCTACTTCTGGTCAATCTTTTTTAATTGACCGCATTGCGTACAATAAGAGGGAATATGTGATGGCACCAAATTTCGGATGTTGAGTTGTTGATGAGAACGCACTTATCTATAGCAGGGAAGCATAAATAAAGTATTTTTGTCAGTCTATGAGTGCATTCATGTATCTCCAAAGCGGCTGAACCGATTTTTATATGAAATTTTATATGTGAGTTTATTTTGGCTGTGGCATGAATTGATCAATTTGGACATATTATTCCTCGTGAACTGGACTTTTTTGTATGCCGATTTTATAGTTGTGCACATATACAGAGAAATAATCCATCACTTGTCTTGAAAACCAAACTAGGGGCTGATTTTACATATTTTAACATATTTACTAAATGGAGTGATGGAATTTCCTGAAATTTAGTATTTTGCTGGATTACAAGGTGAACTTTTCAGGAAATTTGAATGGCACGAAGTGAAACTCTACTAAGAGTCAAATTTATATTTTTTTAGAAATCATAACTAAACACTTTAGCACTTTAATAAAACTAGACAATACACATTGCGGTCGGTTATGAAATAGCCACATCAGATTTTTTTTAATGTGTATTATGTTTAAATTTGTAAACGTACGATATTCATATTAGTAATGTCAAGCAAGTGGTTCTTATGAGGAAATATTGATTTTATGCATAAATAAGCACTGTTTTTTTAATTAGATTTAAAATTCTTATGAACTTTTTTTTTGGTGTCACATTGTATATATTTTTCATTAATATAAGACAAATTCTATCACAAATTTTTTCAAATTTATATTACCTTACTTTACAATTCTCACATTTCACAATTAACTACTTATAACAGAAACGCTATAAAAGAAAATAAAAGAATTAACAATACAAAATTAATGACACAAAAATAGAGTTAATCCACAAACTGATGATGGTTATAGAAATGGTACTTGTATATTTAAAATGTTCTATATGTGTATGCATGAATGTATATAACAAATGCGGTAGTAAACATAAAAAACTTCAATAACTACATAAGTTAAATGATATTGCAAATTAATTCGTGTGTCTTTTGCTATATAAAAATATTTTCGGGTAAAAATTGAAAATAGGCTGAATTGGAAAATATTTTCTTTGTATTATGCTTTTTTGTGTAATTATTTCTTTATTTTGTGGATTCTTTTTTCATTTTGTCTTGTTAATAATGTCATTTCATCAATGTAATTACATATATGTATGTAACTTTTTTTTTCATCTTCACATACAACAATTTATAGGGCATAAATTGTATTAATTAATTCACAATTTTTTGCACACGGAACAGAATATTCTAAAGGAGAAAATGTATAAAAAGGAAGTGAATTAAATTAATTAAAATCGCTGTTCTTAATTTCATTGGTTTTACTTTTTGTATTTTTTTTTTTTTTTGGAATTTGTTATTTAACTGAAACAGAATATTTGAGCAAAAAAAAAACAATATAAAACTATCTCTGTAAGGTTTTTCTGGATGGGTGAATTTGCAACAATAATTTTTTTTTTGCATTAATAAATTTTTTTCTCCTACAACGTATAAAATAGAATAAT